CGGCGAAGCCCCCCCCCGGCTGCCGCTGCCAGTACACCTTGTCGCTGTTCACCTGCCCCGCCCCCCCCAACATGACGTCATTTCCGGGCGGGACACGCCCATAAAATCCCTTCTTCCACCCCCAAAAAGTTGTGCCCCCCCCAGCCCCCAAAATTACCTCGGCGAAGACGAAGGGGGTGTCGTACTTGAGGAAGACCTCCCCGTTCTTCACCGCCGTCACCGAGCAGGGCCCGCAGCAGAAGAGGCCTTGGGAGGGGGGGGACAGACCAGTATAAACCAGTATAAACCAGTATAAACCAGTAGAAACCAGTATAAATCACCATAGACCAGTATGGACCAGGATGGGCTACTGGGAGGTGCCCCGTGGTGGCTCTTCCCTCCCCCAGTGGCCACCAAACACCAACCCCCAGGGACCCCCAGGCCCCTCTCCCAGTATAAACCAGTACAGACCAGTATAGACTAGTACAGCCCAGTATAAACCAGTATAAACCAGTTACCGCTGCTGGTCTCCTGGGGGGTGGCGTCCACCACTTGCCACCCGTCGTAGCCGTCGGGGAGGTCGGGGCGTTTCATCCAGCAGTCGTTCCACACGTGGAAGTTCCTGCCCAGTATAAACCAGTATGGACCAGTACAGACCAGTACAGACCAGTATAAACCAGTACGGACCAGTATAAACCAGTACCCACCAACATGGGGCCGGAGGGACCCAGGATGAACCCCACCATCACCTGGTTTCCCCCAAATCCCTTCAGACCAACCCCTTTCCCACCTCCCCCTTTCCCAGTCCCGCCCCAGTCTGGACCAGTACGGACCAGTATAGACCAGTATAAACCAGTACGGACCAGTATAAACCAGTACCCACCAACATGGGGCCGGAGGGACCCAGGATGAACCCCACCATCACCTGGTTTCCCCCAAATCCCTTCAGACCAACCCCTTTCCCACCTCCCCCTTTCCCAGTCCCGCCCCAGTCTGGACCAGTACGGACCAGTATAGACCAGTATAAACCAGTACGGACCAGTATAAACCAGTACCCACCAACATGGGGCCGGAGGGACCCAGGACGAGCCCCACCATCACCTGGTTTCCCCCAAATCCCTTCAGACCAACCCCTTTCCCACCTCCCCCTTTCCCAGTCCCACCCCAGTATGGACCAGTATAGACCAGTCTGGACCAGTACGAACCAGTATAAACCAGTACAGCCCAGTATAAACCAGTACCCACGAACATGGGGCCGGAGGGACTCAGGACGAACCCCACCATCAGTTGGTTTCCTCCAAATCCCTTCAGATCACCCCCTTTCCAGCCTCCCCCTTCCCCCGTCCCGCCCCAGTCTGGACCAGTATGGACCAGTATAAACCAGTATAAACCAGTACCAGACGGAGTCGGTGTTGAGGCGCTCGAGGGGCTTCATGTTCTCGTCGAAGTAGATGTCGGTGGTGAGGGAGACGTCGGTGTCGTGGGCCGAGTTGTAGTTGGTGACGGTGCGGGTGGGGAGGCCCAGGCACCTCAGCACTGGGGGCACCAGTATAAACCAGTATAAACCAGTACGAACCAGTACAAACCAGTAAAACCCAATACAAACCCAGTAAAACCCAGTAGCGAAGAATTAAGGGCTTGGGGTTGGCTCTGAAGGGCTCCCACCTCCCTCCCAGTGACTCCCGGGACCCCTTCCCAGTACAAACCAGTCCCCAACTGGGCTGAACCGGTTCAAACCAGTAAGGAACCAGTTCGAACCAGTACAAACCAGTAAGGAACCGGTAGAAAACCACCTCCTTGCCCTTCATTTCTCTCTCTTGAAGCGACTTCATCCGCCTTTTCCTCCTCAATTGGACCCTGGTGCCTCTCCCCCAGCCCCCCAACCCCCAAACCAGTACAAACCAGTACAAACCAGTAAGGAACCAGTTCAAACCAGTAAGGAACCAGTAGAAAACCACCTCCTTACCTTTCATTTCTCTCTCTTGCAGCGACTTTATCCACCTTTTCCTCCTCAATCGGACCCCAGTGCCTCTCCCCAACCCCCCAACCAGTATAAACCAGTAAAAACCAGTATAAACCAGCACAAACCAGTATAAACCAGTACAAACCAGTAAGGAACCAGTAGAAAACCACCTCCTTACCCTTCATTTTTCTCTCTTGCAGTGACTTTATCCACCTTTTCCTGCTCAACCGGACCCCGGTGCCTCTCCCCCAGCCCCCCAACCCCCAAACCAGTACAAACCAGCATAAACCAGTACAAACCAGTACAAACCAGTAAGGAACCAGTTCAAACCAGTAAGGAAACAGTAGAAAACCACCTCCTTGCCCTTCATTTCTCTCTCTTGAAGCGACTTCATCCGCCTTTTCCTCCTCAATTGGACCCCGGTGCCTCTCCCCCAGCCCCCCAACCCCCAAACCAGTACAAACCAGTAAAAACCAGTACAAACCAGTACAAACCAGTACAAACCAGTACAAACCAGTAAGGAACCAGTAGCAAACCACCTCCTTATGCTTCATTTCTCTCTCTTGCAGCGACTTTATCCCCCTTTTCCTCCTCAATTGGACCCCGGTGCCTCTCCCCCAGCCCCCCAACCCCCAAACCAGTACAAACCAGCATAAACCAGTAAGGAACCAGTTCAAACCAGTAAGGAACCGGTAGAAAACCACCTCCTTACCCTTCATTTCTCTCTCTTGCAGCGACTTTATCCACCTTTTCCTCCTCAATCGGACCCCGGTGCCTCTCCCCAACCCCCCAACCAGTATAAACCAGTAAAAACCAGTATAAACCAGCACAAACCAGTATAAACCAGTACAAACCAGTAAGGAACCAGTAGAAAACCACCTCCTTACCCTTCATTTCTCTCTTTTGCAGCAACTTTATCTGCGTTTTCCTCCTCAACCGGACCCCGCCGCCCTCCCCGGCGCCTCCCCAACCCCCAAAACCAGTACAAACCAGTACAAACCAGTAAGGAACCAGTACAAACCAGTAAGGAACCAGTAGAAAACCACCTCCTTACTCTTCATTTCTCTCTCTTGCAGCAACTTTATCTGCGTTTTCCTCCTCAACCGGACCCCGGCGCCTCTCCCCCAGCCCCCCAACCCCCAAAACCAGTACAAACCAGTATAAACCAGTACAAACCAGTGGTGACGACGCCGGCGAAGACCCAGCACTGGCCGTAGCGCACGGGGCCGGTGCGGTGGAAGGCCCTCAGGATGTCGACGGAGCCCGCCCAGGCCGAGGGGTTGGTGCCCTGGGCGTAGTCCCCCGTCCAGTTCCCCACCAGCACCCCCTGGTCGTCCAGCGAGTTCACCTGGGGGGGGCCCCGAAACCGTCATTTGGGGGGGGGGGCACCCCGAATTGAGAGAAAACCCCCCCAAAATCACCCGGCACCAAAAAACACAACTAGACCTCAAAAAACGTCACTGGGAGCCCAAAAAACATCACTGGGAGCCCAAAAAACGTCACTGGGACCTCAAAAATCAAACTGGGGGGCCTTGAAACCGTCACTTGGGGCACCCCGAATTGAGAGAAACCCCCCCAAAATCACCCGGCACCAAAAACCACAACTAGGCCTCAAAAAACGTCACTGGGACCCCAAAAAATGTCACCGGGAGCCCAAAAAACATCACTGGGACCTCAAAAATCACACTGGGGGGCCTTGAAACTGTCACTGGGGGGCCCCTGAATTGAGGGAAACCCCCCCAAAATCACCCGGCACCAAAAACCACATCTAGACCTCAAAAAACGTCACTGGGACTCGCAAAAACGTCACTGGGACTCGCAAAAACGTCACTGGGGCCCCAAAAAACATCACTGGGACCTCAAAAATCACACTGGGGGGCCTTGAAACTGTCACTGGGGGGACCCTGAATTGAGGGAAACCCCCCCAAAATCACCCGAGACCCCAAAAACTGTCACTGGGATCCCCAAAAACCTCTCCAGGGACCCAAAAATCCTCAGCTGGGACCCAAAAAACTCACCTGGGACCCCAAAAATCACACTGGGGGGGCCTTGAAACTGTCACTGGGGGCACCCTAAATTGAAGGAAACCCCCTAAAAATCACCCGGGACCCCAAAAACCACCTCCAGACCTCAAAAAACGTCATTGGGACCCCAGAAAAAATCACTGGGGCCCCAAAAAACATCAATATGACCCCAAAAATCATCACTGTGACCCCAAAAATCATCACTGTGACCCCAAAAATGTCACCGGGGGGGGCCTTGACACCCCCAAAACCCACCAAACCCCCCCCCAAACCCCCCCCCAACCCCCCCCAACCCCCTAAAAATCAGCTGAGACCCCAAAAACCACATCTAGACCTCAAAAAATGTCATTGGGACCCCAAAAACCATCAATGGGACCCCAAAAATCATCACTGGGACCTCAAAAATGGCACTGGGGGGCCTTGAAACTGTCACTGGGGGCACCCTAAATTGAAGGAAACCCCCTAAAAATCACCCGGGACCCCAAAAACCACCTCCAGACCTCAAAAAACGTCATTGGGACCCCAGAAAAAATCACTGGGGCCCCAAAAAACATCAATATGACCCCAAAAATCATCACTGTGACCCCAAAAATCATCACTGTGACCCCAAAAATGTCACCGGGGGGGGCCTTGAAACCCCCAAAACCCACCAAACCTCCCTCAAAACCCTCCCAAATCCTCCCCTGAAAACCCCCCCAAATCCCATCTTTTCCCCCCCAAACCTCCCCGAGTGGCCCCGAAATCCCCTTGAATTCACCCCAACCGCCCCCAAAATCCCCGGATTTCCCCCCAAAAGGGGGCTCACCATGGCGGACACCACGCGGGACACCATGACGGGGTCCCC